TACATTCAGAGTATTTGCATGAATGATTATCCAATGCATGAAATAATCAAATTTATTATGGATCCATTCCATCTTTATCATATCAGACTGTTATGGATCATGACTGTTATGACTAACTTGGTGGGTCACACATTCCAAATGACAATTGCCTCCCTTTACTGGACACAATCTGTTTGGTGCCTGGGAATAGTATACGTACAATTCCACAGTCCTAGAATGAGGGTTGGGTAGGCTTTGCATGGAACTTGACTGTGAAGCTGACCTTTTTCCATTAATTCCATTTCATCAATAAGATGCAGTATAAAGAAGGAGCTGATTCGTCTGCAGCATCAAATGAGGAGGCAGAGTGGTGAAGGACTCCTGTTAAAACAAGTTGAGTAAGTCTTGAGGTGTGTTCATGTGACGGGGTGGGGCACGCGTAGACAAGATGGCGTATTGAATAGAAATCGGTACAAAACACCTCAAGATAAAAACATAATATTCAAAATCAGTAAGTTAGACTAAATATTAGCATTTCATATATTCGCAGTTAATATAATTCAATCTGGATAATAACACAAAACAGATCATAAGGCTAGAGAAATATATCGACAAATATTACAACAACACACAACACCCAAACATGACTGAAGACAAGCGTGAAGAGCCGATCCCCAAAAGGAAACGCGACTCATCGACTGATACAGATGATACAGTGGGGGAAAAAAGTATTTAGTCAGCCACCAATTGTGCAAGTTCTCCCACTTAAAAAGATGAGAGAGGCCTGTAATTTTCATCATAGGTACACGTCAACTATGAAAGACAAAATGAGAAAAAGAATTCCAGAAAATCACATTGTAGGATTTTTAATGAATTTATTTGCAAATTATGGTGGAAAATAAGTATTTGGTCAATAACAAAAGTTTCTCAATACTTTGTTATATACCCTTTGTTGCCAATGACACAGGTCAAACGTTTTCTGTAAGTCTTCACAAGGTTTTCACACACTGTTGCTGGTATTTTGGCCCATTCCTCCATGCAGATCTCCTCTAGAGCAGTGATGTTTTGGGGCTGTCGCTGGGCAACACAGACTTTCAACTCCCTCCAAAGATTTTCTATGGGGTTGAGATCTGGAGACTGGCTAGGCCACTCCAGGACCTTGAAATGCTTCTTACGAAGCCACTCCTTCGTTTCCCGGGCGGTGTGTTTGGGATCATTGTCATGCTGAAAGACCCAGCCACGTTTCATCTTCAATGCCCTTGCTGATGGAAGGAGGTTTTCACTCAAAATCTCACGATACGTGGCCTCATTCATTCTTTCCTTTACACGGATCAGTCGTCCTGGTCCCTTTGCAGAAAAACAGCCCCAAAGCATGATGTTTCCACCCCCATGCTTCACAGTAGGTATGGTGTTCTTTGGATGCAACTCAGCATTCTTTGTCCTCCAAACACGACGAGTTGAGTTTTTACCAAAAAGTTATATTTTGGTTTCATCTGACCATATGACATTCTCCCAATCCGCTTCTGGATCATCCAAATGCACTCTAGCAAACTTCAGACGGGCCTGGACATGTACTGGCTTAAGCAGGGGGACACGTCTGGCACTGCAGGATTTGAGTCCCTGGCGGCGTAGTGTGTTACTGATGGTAGGCTTTGTTACTTTGGTCCCAGCTCTCTGCAGGTCATTCACTAGGTCCCCCCGTGTGGTTCTGGGATTTTTGCTCACCGTTCTTGTGATCATTTTGACCCCACGGGGTGAGATCTTGCGTGGAGCCCCAAATCGAGGGAGATTATCAGTGGTCTTGTATGTCTTCCATTTCCTAATAATTGCTACCACAGTTGATTTCTTCAAACCAAGCTGCTTACCTATTGCAGATTCAGTCTTCCCAGCCTGGTGCAGGTCTACAATTTTGTTCCTGGTGTCCTTTGACAGCTCTTTGGTCTTGGCCATAGTGGAGTTTGGAGTGTGACTGTTTGAGGTTGTGGACAGGTGTATTTTATACTGATAACAAGTTCAAACAGGTGCCATTAATACAGGTAACGAGTGGAGGACAGAGGAGCCTCTTAAAGAAGAAGTTACAGGTCTGTGAGAGCCAGAAATCTTGCTTGTTTGTAGGTGACCAAATACTTATTTTCCACCATAATTTGCAAATAAATTCATTAAAAATCCTACAATGTGATTTTCTGGATTTTTTTTCCTCAATTTGTCTGTCATAGTTGACGTGTACCTATGATGAAAATTACAGGCCTCTCTCATCATTTTAAGTGGGAGAACTTGCACAATTGGTGGCTGACTAAATACTTTTTTCCCCCACTGTATCTATTTATTGTGGCCATCGAGATGTTAGCTATTCAAATCAGATCCAATAATAATATCAGAGGATTAGAAATACAGGGCTTAAAAACAAAGGTGTCATTGTACGCTGATGATTCATGTTTTCTTTTAAATCCACAACTATAATCCCTCCACAGCCTCATAGAGGATCTAGATACATTTTCTAACCTCTCTGGATTACAACCAAATTATGACAAATGTACTATATTACGTATTGGATAACTAAAAAATACAATTTTTACATTACCATGTAGTTTACCAATAAAATGGTCTGATGGTGATGTGGATATACTCGGAATACATATCCCAAAGGAAATAAATGATCTCACTTCAATACATTTTAGTAGAAAGTTAGCAGAAATAGATAAGATCTTACTACCATGGAAAGGAAAATACCTGTCAATTTGTGAAAAAATCACCCTGATTAACTCTTTAGTATTATCACAGTTTACCTATTTGCTTATGGTCTTGCCTAAGCCTAGCGAACAGTTTTTTAAATTATATGAGAAAAAAATATAAAATTTTATTTGGAACGGCAAGCCAGACAAAATTAAAAGGGCATATTTATATAATGAATATGAATTCGGAGGACAGAAATTATTACATTATTAAAGCATTAGACCTATCACTAAAAGCTTCAGTCACACAAAAGTTATACTTAAATACGAACTGGTTCTCAAGCAAATTAGTAAGATTGTCTCACCCAATGTTCAAGAAAGGCCTTTTTCCCTTTATTCAGATTACAACCTCTCACTTTCAGTTATTTGAAAAGGAAATAATCTCCCAAATATCACTATTTCTAAAACAAGCCATAGAAAGTTGGTTGCAATTTCAATTTAATCCTCCAGAAACGACAGAACAAATAATGCAACAAATATTGTGGTTAAATTCAAATATACTAATTGACAAAAAAACGTTATTTTTTGACAGAATGTTTAAAAAAGGTATAATCTTCGTAAATGATATCATCGGTAGGACTGGTGGAGTTATGTCGCACATGCAGCTAACAAAAACATATGGAAATGTCTGCTCTACCCAAAATTACAACCAAATAATTGCAGCCTTACCGCAAAAGTGGAAGAGGAAAGTGGAAGGGGGAGAAAGTAAGGAACTTGTCTGTCGGCCTTGCATTAAAGAACATAATTGGTTAAGGAAAACTGTGATAAATAAAAAAGTATATCAGTTTCACTTAAGGACCAAAGGATTGACAGCCGTCCCATATAGATTGCAAAATAGTTGCGAAGAGATCTTTGACGTACCGATCCCATGGCATAGTGTTTATGAACTGACACGCAAAACGACACCGGATTCAAAAATTTGAATCTTTCAATTTTAATTATTATATAAAATTCTTGCTACCAATAGAATGTTATTTATATGGGGGATACAATCTTCCCAGCTCTGCAGATTTTGCTGTGAAGAGACAGAATCATTAGATCATTTGTTTTGGTTCTGTCCATTTGTAGCTTGTTTTTGGACACAGGTCCAGGAATGGCTAAAGGATTGCAATATTTACCTGGAGCTAACCTTGCAGATAGCATTACTGGGTGATCTGAAAAGTCATAGTCAATCAATCAATAATATAATAATACTTTTAGCAAAAATGTTTATTTTTTATTCACAATCTGTAGAAGCAATGAGAATAGAAAGGTTCAGAACTTTTGTAAAACATCACAGTACGGTTGAAATATAAATGGCAAATAGAAATCCTATATGGATGGTGTTAAGAGATAGATGGGAGGTATTGAATAGAGTTGAAGGATGGGACTAATAACAAATAACAACAAATAATAACAAAGATAGCTAATAATGTAAGCATACTGTGTCCATAATAAGTATATAGGTTGTATGTTGGGAGCTTTTGGGAAAGAGCACAGTTAGAAAGATATGGCATATAGAAGCAAACCGGATGGACATCATGAAAATGATCGGAGAGGTTGAGAGTAGAAGTAGTTCAGGAGCAAAAAATAAAATAAAATAAAAAATATATAGATATATAATAGAATATAATTATTGTAAAATTAACTCTGTCCATAAGGTGTAGATAGTAAGTATAGACCGGAAGTAGAGGCCTGGGCATTGTTGTTCACTAATTTACTCCAAGTAGGGAAAGGATGGTGGGGTTGAAAAGTAATAAAGGGGAGTATATATATATTTTAAAAAACATGGGGGATTGGAAGTGATGCAGACAATTACATTGATAGAAGATACAATCTATCTGCAATATTAAGCTGATCCATCCCCCCCCCCAAAAAAAAAAAAAAGTATTGACACTTTAATTTGATATTGTGTTTTACTGTAATTTTATTGAATATTGGGTGCAGGTTTTTAAAAATTAAATATATATAGGTGTAGACACTTATGTACAAGAATATCCCACACAACTGTTACACTTCTCCAGTAAACATTGGTGTACACTGACTGGGGACCAAGACAGGTGTTAATTTGAGACAGATCTGTTAATGTACAGGGGCTGGTTGCACCAGTTACACGTTAAACAAAAGTTGGTCTTACATTTTTAATCGGACATAGAGTAACGACCAGGCACAAGCCCAACTGTTGCAACCAGCTCTGTGGTGGGTAGACCAGTTAATGAATTAAATTGATCCTTTCCCCTGGCTTTATAAAGAATTGTCTCTGTCATTGTCACACAGTAGCTACCTGTCTTTACCGCTCTCTGATTGTGTCCCTCTCTCTCTCTCTCTCTCTGATTGTTGTTCTCTCTCTCATAATGAATGTTCTGGAGCACAACGACTTTATCAACGTCAGTAAGGAAGAAACTGCCATTGGGAAACACCAGTGTCAAGATCCCAAAAAGGTGACTATCTGCATTTTGTTATTATCCACTGCTTGAACAATATTATATTCAATGGCATAAATAAGGGGGTGGAGAGAAAAGGATGGGAGACTTGGAGGGACATAATTCAATGGTCATGGAAAAGCAAATCATATTTGACACATTTCCCACAACGTAACCCTGTGTAACTGCTGACTACATTGATGTGTGTCTGTCTGTCTGTCATTGACGTTGTCTGTCTGTGTGTCTTGTTGCGTTCCAGTACCTCTCTCTGGATGGTAACAGTCTGACCACAGCTGATCTGGTCCGTTTGGGGAAAGGCCTGTTCAACATCAAGGTATGATTTAAAGAAGACCATGCTCCAGCATAGTCCAATCAGAACGTTATCAGCTGTGCTGGCGGACTGCTGTCGGTTAACATTTGAACTCCTCTGTTTTGTCACCCAGCTGACCTGCGAGGCTGAAGGGAAAGTCAATGAAGCCAGAGAAGTGATAGAAACCATCATAAAAGAAAACCGAGGTATGGGAGATCATAGATTAATATAATATATAGCTATAGATTAATATAATGTGTGATTCTACATGTGTTTATATGTCAATGTATATCAATGTGTGTTTTTTCCCCTGTAGTTGTCTATGGCGTCAACACAGGGTTTGGGAAATTTGCCCATACACTCATTCCGAAGGATAAACTCATGTAAGTTGTTTATTAACTAGCTGGGAAGAACAAGTATTTTCCCATCTGAATAAACATTGTGCGCTAGATCTGTTTGTCAATCACTAACTGTCAGAATCATTTATTGACTGTGTGTGTTTTCTTTGTCTTTAGGGAACTACAGGCGAATCTGATTCGATCTCATAGTGCTGGTGGGTTACCATGCTTATAGAAACCGACTATATGTCATTATAATACCTTTATTTCCAAGGGACAGATCAGGCCTATCCTTGACTAAATTGCACCCCTGGTGCTCATATTGAAATACTTTTCGATGTGTGTGTGTGTGTGTGTGTGTGTGTGTGTGTGTGTGTGTGTGTGTGTGTGTGTGTGTGTGTGTGTGTAGGAGTGGGCACCCCATTGAGTGTAGAGAGGACCCGTATGCTACTGGCTCTGAGGATCAACGTTCTGGCCAAAGGGTACAGTGGCGTCTCCATGGAAACGGTCCAGGCTATGGTCAAAGCCTTCAATGGTAAACCCAGTCTACAATAACAACCTGAATTGAAATTCTGATTCAACATTTTGACTTACTAAAGCCAAGCGTGAACTCTGTTTTTGTCTGTGGGTGTGTTTGTGCATGTGCACGTGCACGTGTGTGAGTGTGTATATGCATGTCCTGTCCAGGTACATTGTGCTTGTGTGTATCTGTGTATCTGTGTGACTGTGTGTGTGTGAGTGTATCTGTGTGACTGTGTGTGTGTGTGCGAGCGAGTACACATGTGGTGCACACTGCGCAGAACATCGGAATAATTATCACTGTGAAGCATTGTAATGTTGTATCATGCATTGTTTGTTTGTATCAATTCATCCCTAACTGGTGATTTAACACGAAAATAAAATGTCATTAATTAATCTATTCATTCGTTCATGCATGCATTTGTTTTGTGTGTGCGCGTACATGCGTGTGTGCGTGTGACGGATATCTCGCTCTACTCTCCCAGCCTCCTGCCTGTCGTTGGTGCCAGAGAAGGGGACGGTGGGGGCTAGTGGAGACCTGGCCCCCCTGGCCCACCTCACCCTGGGTCTTATGGGAGAGGGCAGGATGTGGTCGCCTCAACGCGGCTGGGACCACGCCAAAACAGTTGGGCTACCCACAATGCCTCTCTCTCTCAACCCAAAGACACACCTCAGAGAACCACAGTGTTTTTGTTAGATAAAATGTATAAATGACGGCCCCTAACTCGTTTCCTGTCTGTCTGTCTTTCTTTCTTTCACCTCTCCTTTATTCTTTCTTTCCTCCTTTTCCAGGTACTGGAGTGTCATGGACTCACACCTTTGGTACTGAAGCCTAAAGAGGTACAGTTCCAGAGCTGTGGTAATAGGAACTCTCTTGGTTTGACTATTTGTTGGTTTTTCTATCAGGCATTGATTAAGTAGTCTTGTATACTGATTATTGATAACTGGGGTTAGACGATATCATATCTGGGATATAATAGCAGTAGATAGTGATGTCATTGAGGATCAAGTAATGGTAAGTGTTTTATCGTGCAGGGCATCGGTCTGATCAACGGGACTCAGATGATGTCATCTCTGGCGGCGGAGGCAGTGGAGAGAGCTGTGGGTGTGGCCAGGCAGGCTGACATCATCACTGCCCTCAGCCTGGAGGCCCTGAGGGGCACCACCAAGGTCTTCCACAGCGGTCAGACACACACACACACACACATATATAGTGAATTCACTGTTGGAGCTTTGATGCTATAAGAAGTTAACCGTTCCATTCCATTGTGTACTGGTCTGTTCTGCCCTTCCAGACATCCATGCAGTGAGGCCACACCCTGGTCAGATAGAGGTGGCTCTGAGACTCCGCTCTCTACTCCACTCTGAAGTCTTCCCCTCCCAGATCTCTGGTAAAGTCAGGCAGGCGAAACACACACACACAGAAACACACACTCAATTATTGTCCATTTTGTGTCCAAATAAAGACGTTTAGTCCATTGGTGGAAACCTTAACAGTGCTGTTTGGTCGTTTCCTGTCTCTGACTTCCTTTGTTGTGTTTTCCTGTAGAGAGTCATAGGACATGTGACCGTGTCCAGGATGTATACACCCTCCGCTGTATCCCTTCAGGTAGAGTGTGTTTGGGTGTGTTACACATCTTTGTACCCCTGCAGTGAGGGGCTGGAGTGAACTAACCCTAGTACCAGTGTTTATTTTTGTCTCTCTCCTCTCTTTTAGGTTCATGGGGTGGCTAACGACACCATAGCCTTCGTGAAGAACATCCTCTCCACTGAGCTCAACAATGCCACTGACAACCCTGTATCCTCCCACTGAGTTACATTGTTATATTTACTTGAAGACATCATCTCTTTCTTTGATCTCCTTTTAGTCCCCCAGTGATTATATAAATTCACCACAAGGAGGAGCCCTTGGACTAGCCCATATGGGTTTTGGTTTCCTGTATACAGCTTTTATTAGAGACTCATAATGTTGTCCCAGATATGAAACCTTAACTCTCCTCCAGCTGGTTTTTGCAGAGCGAGGTGAGACCATCTCTGGGGGTAATTTCCATGGAGAATACCCAGCCAAGGCAGAGTCACAGACAAACAGATTCACTCCATTCAATAATTTCCTCTAGTCCTTCAGTACTGTTCCCCCTCTTTCCTAGCCTGGTCCTTGATATGTTTGTACTGCCTTACCAATGATCATAGGAGTTAGCAAGGCAGCACAAACTGATCTGGGACCAGAATAACCCTCTCTCTCCCCCAGGCTCTAGACTACCTGGCCATCGGTGTCCATGAGCTGGCCAGTATGAGCGAGAGGAGGACAGAGAGGCTGGTCAACCCCTCCCTCAGTGAGCTGCCTGCCTTCCTGGTCCAAGATGGAGGCCTCAACTCTGGCTTCATGATTGCACACTGCACTGCTGCCGCCCTTGGTAGGTCTCTGTGCTTTTGTGTGCGTGTTTTAGTGTGTGTTTGTGCATATTGAAAACGTTAGCGTCTGTGTCTGCTCCCGTACAGTATCTGAGAATAAGGCGTTGTGCCACCCATCCTCCGTGGACTCCCTGTCCACCAGTGCAGCCACTGAGGACCACATCTCCAAGGGGGGCTGGGCCGCTAGGAAGGCCCTGAGGGTGGTGGAACACGTAGAGCAAGGTAACTCCTACCATACAGTCACATGGCACTAATGTGTGAGATGCTCGTCCCATCAAACAGCATGCCTACAGAGTTAACCCTGAGAATAAAAAGGCATCGCTGCCTCTGCTTTTCAGGTCTGGCCATAGAGCTGCTTGCTGCCTGTCAAGCCCTGGAGTTTCTCCGCCCCCTCAAGTCCACTACCCCTCTGGAGAAGGTCCATGAGCTAGTGCGTTCTGTTGTCAGGTAAGAACCATGAGAATGTGGAGCTCTGATTCGAGTACTGCCCAATGTTGTTGTTCTGGAAAGGTGTGTGGAGAGTTCTACAGCACATCAGTTTATTCTTATTTCCCATCAGGCCTTGGGATCGTGACCGTCAAATGAGTCCTGACATCGAGGCTGTTCACACGCTCCTCAGGGCGGAAAAGGCAAGAGACTTACTCCATCTCAGTATTATATTTATCGTTCCAGCTAATTGATAACGAGGCAGATAAAAATGAACTTCTCTATTTATGTTTCTCACCCATGGCAGGCTTGGACTGAAACCACTCCCACTGGATGACTAGGATATTTGTATAAAAATGACTCAAGTATTTCTTGCTTCTACTGTATGATTCCAAATGCAGGATTCAAGTTTATTAATGGTTATTAGAGATATACAGTGTAAACAATAAATGAGCTTCAAAAACAAACATATTGCTTATATTATTTCAGGATCAAAAATTCCTACGAAATGTAACTCCCAGATATGAATCCTACCTTATTATGAGCCTGGAGAGATGTTCTTATATCTTACAATGCTGGTGGACACAAACAACCACCACCAGTAATAACATTACAGTTAAATATTCTCCCTGGTGTATGACAGCATTTACTAAATGTACTGGTTATTTAGTTCAGTTTAGAACTCAGTCTGTGTGATTGAAAGGAGAGATTATCAGAGGGGCAGAGTTTTCACCTTTAACATTGCCAGGGCCAAAGAATGGATAGAGTTTCTCAGTGAAGGTGCAGCCAGTGAAAGAGTAGATATGAGAACTGGCCTCCACATCATAAAAGGAGACCTGACCCTCCTCATAATCCACAAACACCCCCACCTTCTGGGGCTTCTCTCTGAGGTATAAGCAGACACGGGAGTAGGTACAGGCTGAGTACTTACTGCCATCCCTCAGGACCACAGCCCAGCATCCATTTAATGGGCTCTTTGAGACCTTCCGCTTCCTGTTGATGGACTCTCTGGCCACTCCTAAAGTCCACATAGTTTTCACCTGAACATTCACCTCATAGTAAAATCTCCCTGAGGAGAAGCCCTCATTTCCTAGGACATTTAAAGCTCTATCAAACCTTTTTGGATTATATGGAAGATTACGCTGTGTGCCTCCGTGTCTCACTTGTTTCCCATCTTCAGAAAGGATGAGATTGTGATGTGCTGTATCAGGGTCCAGAGTCACATCCACTGCATACTGCTGAATCCTCTTCAGTTTGACTTCAGGCAGCTTCTCCATCTCTTTATTCAGTGTCTCCTCCAGCTGAGAAACAGCTCTCCTCACAGTCTCCATACACAGATCACTGTGAACACTGATCCTAGACCAGTCCTTGGTGTGTGGAGGGGTGCAGAGGGATGGGAAGCTCTGTAGGAGGTGGAGGTGGTCCTCACTGAGTGAGAGCTGCTCCAGCTCAGTGCTTCTCCTCTTTAGCTCAGTGATTTCCTGCTCCAGCTCTTTAATGAGCCCTTCAGCCTGCCTCTCTGCTGCTTTCTGCTTCTCCTCAATCACCTCAATGAGCTCAGCCTGGCTTCTCTCAATGGAGCGCACCAGAGCAGTGAAGACCTGCACACTGTCTGATATCTCTCTTTCTGCATCTTTCTTGCTGAGATCTACTGAGTCTTTGATCTCCTGCACCTTCTGTAGTCTCTCCTGGATCATCTGCTGAACTTCTGCCTCAGTCTTCCCCAGTTTAGCCCTGTTCTCTCCATACTCTTCATCTAGAGGGACAGTGTCATGAGTCATGTGGTCTGCTTTCAAGCACAAGACACAAACACAAGTCTGGTCACTCCTACAGAACAGCTCTAGAGGTCTGTCATGCTTCTTACACATCCTGTCTTCCAGGTTCTCCACAGGGTTGATCAGCTTGTGTCTCTTTAAGGCTGCAACTCTCTGATGAGGCTCCAGGTGAGTCTCACAGTAAGAGGTCTGACACACCAGACAGGACTTCAGGGCCTTGAGCTTCGTCCCAGTGCAGAAGTCACAGGGGATGTCTAGGGGTTGAGCAGGACATTGTTCTGGGCTGCTGGTAGCTTTCACTTCAACTGTCTGCCTGAACTGAGCAACCATCTCAGAAATGAAAGTATTGACAAACAGATCTGGTCTCTTATCAAATGTTTTTTTACACATTGGACACTGGCACAGGTCACTGGTATCCCAGTATCCACTGATACAGGCCTTGCAGAAGTTGTGTCCACATGGAATAGAGACTGGCTCAGTGAACACATCCAGACAGATAGAACACAGGAACTGCTCTTCAGACAGAAGACTGCTGGAGGTAGCCATATCTAGACAGAGACCAGAGGTGAAACCATAAACCATTTCTTGGAGTTGTCAACATTGCCTTATGGGATCATAGTAACTGATATTGATACATGATGTTAAAACATATATAAAAGTCCTATAACCAAAGTACAAAATGTTTAACATATACATTGAACAAAAATATAAATGCAACATGCAACAATTTCAAAGAATTTACTGAGTTAGTTCATATAAGGAAATCAGTCAATTTAAATAAATAAATTAGGCCCTAATCTATGGATTTCACATGACTGGGAATACAGATCTGCATCTGTTGGTCACAGATACCTTAAATAAAGGTAGGGGCGAGGATCAGAAAACCAGTCAGTATCTGGTGTGACCACCATTTGCCTCATGCAGCGCAACACATCTCCTTTGCATAGAGTTAATCAGGCTGTTGATTGTGTTCTGTGGAATGTTGTGCCACTCTTCAATGGCAGTGCGAAGTTGCTGGATATTGGCAGGAACTGGAACACGCTGTCGTATACGTTGATCCAGAGCATCCCAAACATGCTCAATGGATGTCTGGTGAGTATGCAGGCCATGGAAGAACTGGGACATTTTCAGCTTCCAGGAATTGTGTACAGATCCTTATGACATGGGGCCATGTATTATCATGCTGAAACATGAGGTGATGGCGGCGGATGAATGTCACAACAATGGGCCTCAGGATCTCGTCATGGTATCTCTGTGCATTCAAATTGCCATTGATAAAATGCCATTGTGTTAGTTGTCTGTAGCTTATGCCCATACCATAAACCCACCTCCACCATGGGGCACTGTTCACAACGTTGACATCAGCAAACCACTCGCCCATACGACACCATACACATGGTCTGCGATTGTGAGGCTGGTTGGACATGCTGCCAAATTCTTTAAAATGACGGAGGCGGCTTATGGTAGAGAAATGAACATTACATTATCTGGCAACAGCTCTGGCGGACATTCCTGCAGTCAGCATGCCAATTGCATGCTCCCTCAACTTGAGACAGCTGTGGCATTGTGTAATGACAAAACTGCACATTTTAGAGTGGCTTTTTATTGTCCCCAGCACAAGGTGTAATGATCATGCTGTTTAATCAGCTTCTTGATATGCTACACCTGTCAGGTGGATGGATTATCTTGGCAAAGGAGAAATGCTCACTAACAGGGATGTTAACAAATTTGTGCACCGAATTTGAGAGAAAAAGCTTTTTGTGCATATGGAAAATGTCTGTTATCTTTTATTTCAGCACATGAAACATGGGACTAACACTTTACATGTTGCGTTTATATTTTTGTTCAGTGTAAATAAAAAGGAATGTGAACGGTAAATAATGTAAAGCTTATCTTCAATTTAATATTTCTTAATCTCTCTACTCACCTGTACAGTATGTTTGTGGATAACACTGTCCTTGGTGTCAAAGGGTTGGAGACTCTGCATATAGTCTGAAGGTGTTGCTGTTTAAGGGATATCTGAAGTGCTGGGGAGTTTGGTCCCATACACAATATACTGTCTCTCTACTTAAGTTTCACTTTGTGTACATCACAAAGTGATGTTAATACTGCTCCTCCCCACCAGATACTGCTGTGTGATTCTCTTCCTGGAACAGTTAACCCTTTACATGGCTGAACTGTAACTGATCATTTTTTGTCACTGATTAAAACAGTATTAATTGACGTCCCGTACCAGGAAGAAATTAAATCTACTTCACCCCTGGTTATTACAGTAGCTATGAAAAGATTGGTGTAATTATTCAGATGTGTGTAAAGATGTCGATGACAACCAGAAGTTATTGGGTCACTTGGATTTTTATTCAAAGGATTTATGTCACATTAAAGCACATGGTACTAGTTTGTCCAATTAGAAAAGAGCTGACATTAAGGGCACCTCTCCTCATAAAAAAAAAAAAAAGTTAGCTAAAAAACAAACGTCCCATTCCACCCGATTCCCCTCCCAAACCTGCATAAAACAATTAATGTACAAAAACAAACTATCTGGTCCGAAAAGCATAAAAAATAAAGTATCCCAAACTGGTTGAAAGATGCACTCTAAACCTTGTGGCATCTCATGACTACGTACTACATTTAGAGAACAGACTTGTACATTTGCATGACAGGGTTGTGTCAACCACAACATCCCCTCCCACCCATAACAGCCCAACTCCAAGGCCTCCTGTCCATCTGATGATTGCTTTTGACGGTGGGGTCATACGCTCAGCCTATGGTTAGCCTATGGTCGCCAGGCCTGTGTCTGTGCGGTCGATGGCCGCCGCGGTCAGAGCAGGAGCAAGGCCTCGTCATGAGAACTGGATCTGCTGCACGCCAGGAATCTACAGGAGCAAACAGAGGTAATGGAGAGAACGGTCATGGATATATCGTAATGGTTTAGTTCTGGTTCAAATTTCTGATGTCACTTACCTGTTGATATGAGGTGGTGTACACCATGACGTTCTGCTGTTGGCCGTCGGCTGTTATTATTCCGGCTGGCAGTTGATTAGCTGGAATGGAGGGAAGAGGACGTTACAAAACCGTCCACAGCACAATATAATATGCCATTTAGCAGACGCTTTTATCCAAAGCGACTTAGTCATGCGTGCATACATTTTACATATGTATGCATGCATGACTAATGCCTCTACTTTAGTATGAGATGACAAAATTGAGAACTGTTCTGAACCACTTACTGAAGCTGTCGTCTGTAAGCTCCTCCCCCAGGCCTTCTCCCACCGACACACCTGGGATTCCCTTCTCCCCCTTCATCGCCTAGGAAACAACAACGTATTGTGAGAGATGAAATAGCATGTGATGTGCAATTGTGCGTTTGTTCATGGACACTTGTGACTGTGTGTGAGACTAATTGTCAGAACAGAAGAAGTGTGTTTAGTCATACCTCTCTGAACTTCTGCAGGTAGAGTTTGAGGGGCTCCACGTACATGTCGAAGCCCAGGGTTGACATGGCAAACAGGATGTCCTCTCCATTGATGGTCTTCCTTTTCTCCTGGTGGCAGCGCTCGCTGGCCTCCGACGTGATGAAGCTGATGAACTCGCTGACACACTCCTGCACACACTCTTTGGCGTCTTTCGCTATCTGTGTGACACACAATTTAGGACAAAGAGGAATAGGATGAGGATGTTACTAAACGTTTTACTACGGTGTGCAATAATGAATACGACAAACGTCTTGCTCTCACACAGCCTACACACACACACACACACCATGGTTACCTTCCCGGTCTGTGGGATGCCGTTCTTCATGATGCGTGCCACGTTAGCGATGGGGAGGTAGATATCCTGCTCCCGGAAGTTCTCCTTCATGCCCCCGTCCTCATGGTCGTTCAGACTCTCCTCTCCATCATCTTCATCACACATATTATTAAATGGAAAACATGGATCATTGATTGATGCATTCGCTACTGACACTGTTGCATTGAGATTGAGAGAATGTGATGAACCTAGCTACAGTACATTTTGATTGGGGGATTTCTATTCATGATACACCCACACCTGGTTCCCCAATTAGGGTTGAATTTATCAGCTGATGCCCCTTACCATCTTGAGACTGGAGTACATATCCTCCTGACATGTATTCTCCAGAGAGCCCTAACGTTAGCTGGGAGGCGTCGGTGGTGGAACGGTCTTCTTCCATCTGGAACAAAGGACTACATGGTTTGACTCAAATAGCTGAATTGTTGAAAGGCACGTACTATTGACTGGGCAGCTAGCTAAACAATAATGTATAGTTTAGCTAGCTGGCTAAGTGTTCTACCAAATTAGTTAATTTCGCTGGCCAAGTGAGTGGTTGTTTGCTAAATGGGAAGCTAGCTAGCTAACGTTAGCTATCAAATATTTCTTGCAAAATATAATTTGGACAAAGGAAGCAATAGCTTTAGTTAGCTAGCCATTTGACCCTCACACATTTTGATTGACTAATCAACGACTATTGTTGCAACGAAACCATTCTGGGTACAATTTAACGTTATCCTGTAGCCACATGGGTTGTCTTATTGCAAGACCTCTCTGTTCACAATGAAATTCCATATCGGGAGTTCGAATTCCGGCCTGTTCTTTGTATCGAAAACTGAGGCAGGGATACATGGCATGAAATGAAGCTAATTCATCATTTTTACTAGATACTTCCTGCTCGCAAACAATCCTTCACGCAAAAAATACAAATCAGTCAGAGACGGACATTTCCATTCGAGCTAACGAGGAATTGGTTAGCAATCATTGGCCGGAGCCAGGCACAAACCTGCGATGAAGCACTGGTTGGTTACCTTCTCAAAACGGCCGTTGGTTGGACAGAAAATGGCTGCGAAAGAACCAGTCCCAGCGCCGAGCTACGCGTCCTCCCAAAATACAGTGCACTACCTCCCCTGACCGCCAGACGGCCGTTTTGTCAGTGTCACCCTCCCACTGAATGATACCTAGTATCTACACAACTGTAAAAAGCTGTTCTACTCAAAAGCTACCCTCCCTTTATCTATGTGCATGTGTTAACATTTTATTGTTTCAAATAAAAGCTTTGACTGATACAATGTAATGGTGATGCCACCATGCAATATCTATTTTATGATTACAGAAGAACAGGGTGTTTTCATTACATAGCAGACCTAGTGCAAAATTGTATTGCATTTAACACACTTACTGATTGATTGAATATATTATTGTGAATTGACATTATTACAGTGATATTAATATCCGTGCGTTTGCCTGTTATCAAAACGAGTGAACATCAGCGCAGCACCTTTTGCGCATGCGTTTGAGTACTGTCCCCCTGACAGGTAACCAACATCTGCACACTCGCTGACGGTCGAGACAGATTTTTCAGAGAAACTATTTGTAAAAGTTCACTGCTATAACTTACTTCTTCCAGAATCATCTTGAAAGATAGAAGATACTGCATAGAACTTTCCAACAACACGTTCCGTTGGTGGGACTCATATTTTATATAATTTATTTACGCAGTGTGTTGGTAAATACATATTGTATGCTTCTCTTTGGATCCTGTTTCTCTACGAAATCAGATTATTAATTAAATTATATGGACCCATCCAATATGATTTATTTATTGATAAGCAATAATATAATCAAATATTTTTTTGAAATTCTGTGGTATAACGTTCACTCTGACTCATAAAGACTGTCGATGTGCCCTTGAGCAAGGCACTTAACCCTAATTGCTCCTGTAAGTCGCTCTGGATAAGAGCGTCTGCTAAATGACAAAAATAAATAAAGAAAATAAAGAAAAAGTGCAGCTCTGATTTTATCCAACAGGTGGCTACATTGCACCAACATATATTGTAATGAGGCAGTGAGGAACTGTAAACTTCACGAGTCCCAGTCGAATTGATTGACATAATATCATAAACGGTACAATGGTCTGTGCTTCTACTGCTGATGCAAATATTTATTGAAAAATGCCATAACTTGTATTTTTACAAACCTTCACTATGTTTCACTCTGAGACCACATGTCGTTCTAATTCCATCCCACTCAAATATGGATCAGACATGGGTGTTGAAATGGGTGTGTAAATAAAAGGGTGTTTTTCTGTTGCAATAGAAGAGGTCCTATAACAATATTTATCTGAAAGGTTGCAAAAATCTCCACACTTTCCACACTGCTTGCACCACCTTTGATATAAATACCCTTAGACTGAAATGTTAAATCCTTTTAAAGATTCATTTTTTAAGACCGCATAATGTATTTCAAATTCAGAGTGATTTGAGGTGACACATTTTCTCAGGGGTTATTGGAGGAATTATACATGTGGTGTGCTAATATTCACCCAGAGAGACAAAGAAGCACACTTCAAAGAAGTCCTTTTGTGCTCAAGGTTGTGATTTAGCCTAATTTCCTTCTCTATTGGAAATATCCAAGAGCTAATGCATACTGTATGACTAGTACGGACCCTAATGCGCTCTCTCTCTCCCCCTCTCCCTCTCCCTCTCCCTCCCTCCCTCCCTCCCTCAGGCATATGAGGTGGAGGACTTGACTGTAACAGACATCCCCTGACTGCTCTGTGTGTCTAGATCAAAGACGTATGGCATCTCATCAACAATTATTACAAATCCCATATTGGAGCATCACTGTAGGGTGACTAAGCTTGTCCCACTGACAGGACAGGGTTATATCTTTCCAGTCATTAATAACATTTTTTCAAGTTTAATCCATTCTCCCCTGCAGTCTTTCTTAATTATCTTTCTATCTTGATCACTATATGCCCGTTTGAATCTCTTTTTTTGCTTCTTTCTGGGATTTGCACCCTCTTCAGAGGTCAGATATTCCCTCTCTCTACCTGTAGTCAACCTGCATAAACCTGTGTTAACCCCAATTGGCTGTGAGACAGCCTACACACACTAACCTGTTTAATCAGCAGTCATCTGATCTGGCCAATGTTCACAGTGTGTCCAAGCATACTGTGATAATTATCATATATATTGATTTTATGCTAATGAGATGAGCTGTTATATTCTGAAATCCAGAGATCAGTGAAAATGAGAGGAAGGAACTTGACAGTGGGAGGATGTGGGATTTTACTTTATCCGACTGATACCTCTCTTTACCCTCACTCACTTCTCTGTCCGTATTCCCCCTTTCTTTTCCCCCTTCTCTCTCAGGAAGCTGCTGGCTTTGGGAGGAGGTGCTGGTCCTTGACTTGGTGGCTCCCACTCCTAAAGGCACTAAATGGGGTGTGTGATGCAGACAGTGTTTTCATCATATTGTCTATTACTTCATTACATAATATCATTTTGTGCTCAATAATTTAATAATTATTGACTTTCCCTGTCCTTCAGGTCTAGGTGGTTCCAGTATTCTCAGGAAGCTCATGCACCAAGCCTCCCTGCTGGGAAAAGCCATCCAGGATGCCCGGAAGTACGGCTGGAAGTTTGAGGAACAGGGTGAGAGTTGGAGAGGGTCTGAGGAATCAGTTACTTCCTATTCTATTACAGTACATGATATGTATTTTGTTCCATTGAGTCAATATTGAATGTGTGTTAGTTATCATTCCGTCAAATGTTGTTATCTTTAGTGATATGCGTCCTATCCAGAGTTTAAATGCTAGTGGTTGATTAGATGTTTGCGTTGCTATGTGTCCATATGGTCTGTTGCTATGTGTTATAATGGTATGTTGCTATGTGTTATTATGGTCTGTAGTGTTCCATGGCTGGGGTGAGATGGTGGAGGCAGTACAACAACATGTGAAGTCTGTGAGCTTTGAGCTGAGGAGGGAGCTGAGGGACAGTGACGTCACCTACCTGAACGCCCATGGAGAGATACTTTAGCCACACACTGTACAGGTCAGCATGGGGGAGGGGCTTCTGGACAGGTGAGAATGATGGGAGTAATGTCAGTGAGTTTCATACGCTGGGGTTTTACATGGTGACATTACATTTACATTTGAAACATTTGAGTATCGTAATTTAACAGACGCTCTCATCCAGAGCGATTTACGGTAGTGAGTGCATACATTTTTCGTTCTGGTCCCTCGTGGGAATCGAACACACAAACCTGGCGTTGCAAGCGCCATGCTCTACCAGCTGAGCCACACGGGCTATGGAGGCAGATTTTTACACCGTCACTAACTTAACACACTATTAGTTTTGCAGTATAACAAGCCAGTTGTAATAACTTTATATGTGTGTTTGCAGGTACTGCTGGCTGTAGGAAGAGATGCCTGTGCCGGTAACATTGGTCTTGACCACGTTGGGGTGAAATACAATCAGGAGTGTCTACAACGTGACCATCCTGCTTTTTACACTTCTTTATGACTCCATCCAACAGGACTGGCAGGATCTCTGTGAATGAGAAGGAGCAGAGCAGTGTGGGATATGTGTATACTATGGGGACGGTACAGGAGGGTCGTCCATTGACCACAGCCCTCTCCATGCAGGCTCTATGGAGGACACAGGACAACGGTACTGAGACAGTGACTGGGACTAGGATTACATTTAGATTAAGGTTTTGCTTATGTATAGGTTAAGGGACTAGTGTGACGGTTAGTGTGTGTGTGTGTGTGTGTGTGTCTGTGTGTTCTCATTCCCAGTGTGACTACAGTAACGTCCCCACGGTGCTGTTCGCTCCCATGGAGTACGCTACCTGTGGGCTGTCTGAGGAGAACGCTATTCTCAAGTTTGAAGAGGACAATGTGGAGGTACACATGCATGCATGCACGCACACACACACACACACACACACACACACACACACACGCACACACACACACACACACACACACACACACACACACACACACACACACACACACACACACACACACACACACACACACACACACACACACACACACACACACATACACACACACAGTAGTTATGTATTTTATGTCTGTCCTTTATTATTTCTTACTGTTGTTTGCATTGTCGAGAAAGAACCTGCAAGAAAGCATTTAATTGGACGATGTATAGCATGCGTAACCAACCCGTACATAATAAAACTAATAAAACTTGATCTCCTCTCTGTAGGTGTACCATCGCTACTACTGGCCATTGGAGTGGACGGTACCTAGAAGGGACAAGAACTCCTGCTATGCTAAAGTCATCTGCCACATACCTGACCAGGTCAGTACTCACCTTATGATACACTATATATACCAAAGTATGTGGACACCCCTTCAAATTAGTGGATTCGGCTATTTCAGCCACACCCATTGCTGACAGGTGTATAAAATCGAGCACACAGCCATGCAATTTCCATAGACAAACATTGGCAGTAGAATGGCCTTACTGAAGAGCTCAGTGACTTTCAACATGGCACCGTCATAGGATGCCACCTTTCCAACAAGTCAGTTCGTCAAATTTCTGCCCTGCTAGAGCTGTCCCAGTCAACTGTAAGTGCTGTTATTGTGAAGTGGAAATGTCTAGGAGCAACAACAGCTCAGCCACGAAGTGGTAGGCCACACAAGCTCACAGAACAGGACCGCTGAGTGCTGAAGCGTGTAAAAATCCTCGGTTGCAACACTCACTACAGAGTTCCAAACTGCCTCTGGAAGCAACGTCAGCACCAGAACTGTTCATCGGGAGCTTCATGAAATGGGTTTCCATGGCAGAGCAGCCGCTCACAAGCCTAAGATCACCATGCGCAATGAAAAGTGTCGGCTGGAGTGGTATAACGCTCGCTGCCATTGGACTCTGAAGCAGTGGAAACGTGTTCTCTGGAGTGATGAATCACGCTTCACCATCTGGCACTCCGACGGACAAATCTGGGTTTGGCGGATGCCAGGAGAACGCTACCTACCCCAATGCATAGTGCCAACTGTAAAGTTTGGTGGAGGATGAATAATGGTCTGGGGCTGTTTTTCATGGTTCGGGCTAGGCCCCTTAGTTC